AATTAGTGGCCTACCTGAGCACCACTCTCATAATCAGTGACCTATCCAAGCACCACTCTCACCCAAAATCAGTGGCCTACCTGAGCACCACTCTCATAATCAGTGGCTTATCCAAGCACCACTCTCAAGAGACTCTATGTGAGTTCTTCTAGTTTGAAAGCATTTTTCCTCTCCTCAAGTCCTAGGCTAGACACATGCCATAAGGCATCACATGCAATAATACATCAAACATCATACATGTTTTATCCACCATCATGATCAATATCATCCTCATATAAACATATACACATGTCATATCATATTCAAACATTCATACATATTACCAAGCATACATATGAACCATTCACCACCATACGTTATATATCATACATATATGAACCAACTATACATTATAGTATCAAACAACTTTTTAATCGACATGATAACAACTTAACACATCAAAACAACATGTATTTCCCTTTGACAACTGTCAAAGAAAACATCCAAAGAGTTATACTCATCCAAATAAGTCTAAACCTATCTCAAAATAAAGATAAGGGGATTTCCTACAACTCTTATTAAGACAACGAGTTCTAATTCCATCATTTACTTTGTCAAAACTTACAAAAACCGCAACAGCTATGACTAATGCAAATAACTTGGCCCCTGTTCACTAAAACAATCATATCTAGAGTTCTAGACATCTTTTTTATGTGATTCCAACGCCATTGGAAAGCTAAGATTCAAGGCTACAACTTTCATGAAGACCATAAAATCAAATTCTGAAAGCACACTCAAGCCTGGCGCATACAGCTCGCGCCCGGTGTAAATTCATCTCGAAACTGCTTCTTATGAATACAAGCCCGGCGCAAATAATATGAGCCCAGCGCAAATTCATACAGCAGCCCCAAAACTTTGAAAATTTTGTCCAAAACTTGAAAAACAGCAAATCCAACCACATGCAAGCCAAGAAACACAATGTATAGACTCCATACAACTCAAAAATAACCTTAGATTCAACATGCACCCACCCGATGCATCAAAATCACCAAAAACTCCATTTTTCCCGAACCCCGAAAAATGAGAATTTCCTCTGATCCAACCATGATTCTCTAATTTCATGCATCAATTGAGTTCCTAAACTCACATGCAACCACACAACATACATTCTAGCTTCCTTCACCTGAAAATTGGCTCAGAATAGCCAAGAATTGAGAAGAAGAATAAGTATCCTCCAAAGTTCGACTCCTGGACTTCAATCCTCCAAAAACAAGCTTTCTAGTTTGAAATTCAAGAGAAGACAGAAGACATTAGTGATCTAGAGGAAAAGAAGAATCATACAAATAAATTTGGGAGAGAAAGGAGCTCACAAACTTAAAGTCCTTATCTCTAAAACTTCTTTATAAGTTTCTTTGAGAATGAACTTATGAAGTTCCCTTCTCAGAGAAACCCTTATATATTCTTCTCCCTAGAGTCAACTAAACTCTGAAATCTACTCACTACATTACAATACCCCCCAACAAACAGAATTTTCGTCCCCGCAAATAAGCTTACCTGTAAAGAGGAATGCATATCGTTCCTTAAACTGACTCTCCACCTTCCAGGTCGCCTCACCAGTAATAGTATCCCAAAGAACTTTCACCAAGCTGATGGACTTGCCCCTAAGCTCCTTCAACTTGTGATCAATCACAGCTACCGGTCTCTTCTCAAGGTCAAGTTCTCTCTGACTTGAACCTCATCCATCTCCATCACGTGATCGGGTCTCTAATGTAATTCCTCAACTGTGAAACATGAAACACATCGTGTAGGTTAGACAGAACCGGAGGTAACGCCAACTGATAAGCCACTGGACCTATACGATGAAGGATCTGGTAAGGACCAATGAATCTCGGTGTAAGCTTCTTGGCCCTTACAGCCTTTCCCACTACAGTAGTGGGTGTCACCCTGAGAAACACGTGTTCTCCCTCCTCAAACTCTAGAGGTCTTCTCCTCCTATCGACATAGATCTTATGACAACTCTAGGTAGCTCTCAACCTCTCCTGAATCTGCCTCACCATCTCAGTTTGGACCAACCACTACTAACTCACCCTCTTGAAACCAACACAATAGAGTCCTACATCTCCTGCCATATAAAGCCTCAAAAGATGTCATGCCAATCCTCGAGTGAAAGTTGTTGTTGTAGACTTGTAGGTAAATGGAGTAATTCATTTATTTGAAGAATTTCAAATTCTTTGAGGTGAAATACCTTGTTTGGATGAAGAATTTATATGGAATTTGAAATTCAAGCATTTGTGAAATTCCTTAAAATAATAGAATTTTAAATTCTTCCAAAAAAGTAAGAATTTGAAATTCCTCATTTTTTTTTTCTTATTTCACTTATATATTTTATCTTATTTCTTATCTCTTCATGTTTTTAATTATTGAATATTCAAAAATATATTTAAAATTTTAAAATATTATCTAATATTAATTTTTAAAATTATTAAATATTTAAAAATTAGCTAATATTTATTTTTATAAAATTTAATTTAAAAATATCAACATATAAATATATTTTTTAAATCAATTTTATCATGATGAAATCAAATTATTATATCCAACCTAACAATTTAAAATTTGAGAAATTTAAATTGACTTATTCAAACAAAATATTTTAAAAATATCGAGTAACGATATTCATGTATTGGAACTCTTTCATTATCTTTACCAATTTGAAAAAAACAAAAACTCATTATGACATGCAGATTCACTCATATTTTCACTAAATGTGAAATTCCTAATTTTAAATCTCATATTCACTAAAAGTTATTTTTTTCATTTTAATATCATACAAAATTTGAAAGAGTAAAAAAAAAGAATCATTCATACACTGTCAATGTAAGAACATCTGCAATGGGTGTGCCACATCACTGCCAAATTAGCTCTGACTCACTTTATGGGTTGCTTAAATTTTAGCAGAACTGATTTGGCAGTGATGTGGCATAGAGATTGCTTATAAGCAACTCCCATTGGACATGCTCTAAAGTTTTTTACACTAACAACCAATCACATCTTAAAAAAACTTTACACTGGCAATGTAGAGGTGATTAACTAAAAAAAATACAATTTAAGTTTTTCATTTATTACTCATTTACTATTACGTTACATTTAATGTTTTGCATTAATTAGATAGAATAAAATAAGTACGAAATGGCGGAAGAGATAAGGAAACCGATGGAATGATTCGATTTTTACGTTATTAGAAAAATAAAAAATTAATATAAACTCAGTTACCTATATTTAATAGTTTAATAATAATAATAAAATATAATTATTTCATTAAGTTACACTTTTTGTCTTCAATTATTTTTTAATATACAATTTTAGTCTCTCTATTTTAAAATAAAAATATTTAATTTCTCAAAGTTCCATTATCTTAAATCATGATATTTTTAACTATTTTTCTTCAACCATAATTTCTTAACTATTTTTCTCTGATGAGAACATTTTTTAAGATTTTGTTTTCATAATCTTTTAATATATATATATATATCATTTTCAATTTTAAAATTGGAGTTAATATTATTTTAAAATAATTTTTAACTCTCTATATAAACTAATCATTGTGTATTAAATAAAAATATCTATTTTGCATAATAGTATTTTTAGAAAAAAAATTCGACGAAAATTTTTTTAATAATTTTTTTAACTTCTTATTTAATTTAGTTTTTAGTTATCATAATTATTTATGAATTAAATTTAAATATTTTAAAATAAACAATCAATAAATAAAAATTATATTATGCTACAATAAAATATAATTTATATCAAAGAATATATAGTTTATATGTTTAAAAATATTTACTCATATAAAATTTAAATATAATATTTATTCGTATACATAATATATTATAAATTTTAGTTATTATATAAAATAAATATTTAACTTATGTATAGTACATGTTAGTTAAATATGAACATTTATCTTTTCTGAAAGTATTTTTAGAGATTTTTCTTCGAGAGGAGTTTATAATTTTTTTAATTTATTATCTAATTTAA